AACCCTAAACCCTAAACCTAAACCCTGCAGCTCTGGCAGCTCTGGCAGCTCCCTCTCTGGCTCGAGCTGTGGCCAAAGTTCCGTTTGACAGGTGGCCACACATGGCCACGACATCGCACCCCTCCCCTGGGTCGACGTTGACAAAAAGGTACCCTCGCCGATGCCTGCGCCTTCTCCAGGACAGCCTGCAGCTCTGGCAGCTCCCTCTCGTCGTAGAGGCGCGAGCCGCCATCCGCAAAGCGTAGCGCAAGTCCTGGCCCTGCGCAGTGGTACCAGTATAGCAAGGGGGTCACGTGTCAGGTCTTATCGCTGTCGCGCCTCGTGCGCTCGTCGACGTTGGCTGTTCGTGGGCTCCGCTCGAGCTGCTCTGGCCCGTTTGACAGGTGGCCACACATGGCCACGACATCGCACCCCTCCCCCTGGAACTTTGGCCACAGCTCCAAGGCGAGGACCACGATGGCGCGTAGCTCTCGGCTCTTTGCAGGCCAGTTTTGTTCCTCGACCCAGGTGCGGCGCGCGACATCATGACGCCGAGGCTCTCGCTCCCCATTAGCTCGGAGGCAGCAGCCGACGAGCCCGATCTGATACGCTCTCGCGCTCGAATCAGACACCACACAAAAGTCACACACGTTGGCAAAATCGTGCAGAAATCTGGCGAGCATGTCGTCGGCCTTCCGGTTCCCGATGAGCTCTGCGAAAGCCTTCTGCGCGACTGGATCCTTGCCAAAGTGCCTGACATCTTCCTTGCGGCCCTTCGACTTCTTGTCTAGTGCATACGGCCGCAGCGGGGCGACGATGTCCTGGCAGCCGTAGATGTAGTTGAGGAGGCCCCGGATGCGCTCGCGTGTCGGCTCGAGCTTCCACACCCGCAACTTGCCGCAAGTCTTCTCGCCAATGGACAAGCCCCCGCCCTTCGTTGCTGTCGTGCCACGTCTCGGAGGCTGAGACGTCTCGCGCCCGATCTGGTGCTTCTCGAGGGACAAGCCGAAGCCCGTCAGCGTCGCCGCTACTAGTGCTCGCGAGTCGTTGTCGGCGGCGTCGCTCTCTCTCCACGTCGTCCCATGCAGAGTGGAGCTGACCCCGTCGCTTTTAGACTCCCACTGTGTTCGGATGCTCCTTGGCCGGTATAACTCGGCTGGGGCGGGGACTATCGCACTGGCCGCCGCTATCTGCTCGCTGTCATAGTCTTCAAGGATCTCAAAGAAGTGGAGGGCCTCTCCAATGTAAGAGAAGGCACGGCCGGCGGGGTCCTTCCAGATGCCTCCACCCAACACATCTGAGCCGAAACAGCTCCGCGCAGTTCTAACTTCTACCACAACTTGCGAAGCTTCGCAAGAAATTAGGACGCATCTCAGCAGGGCAGCACCAGTAGAATTGATCTCAGTGCTTAGATAAAGCGCCACAACATGCCAAGACTGTTCCTTTTTTCAAGTCAAAGACGCTGCGACAAGGAACGCCAGCAAACTGACCCGCAAGACACGCGGCGGGCCTCGAGTGATAAGTAAGCCGCTGGGGTGAGGTGATCAGACTCGGAGCCTGTCTCTAATAATTTCAGGCGAGCTTGTGGCGCTCGTTTATCCCGCTACCCTTGCCCGCCTGCCTGTCCCTTGACTGAACAGACCAGAAAGTGCGGCCATGGATGGAAGCGGCCTCAGCCTCGTCGTCGCTTAAAGCTGCGCCGCCAGCTTGCGCAATAACCGGCGGCCGCGGTTTTTCGAGGAGATGCCCAGGCGCTGCCACTGCGCGAAACTTTTTTGGCACTCATGTCCCGGACACTCACTCATCCGGCCGCGGCAGTTGAAGTGGTAAACCGTTGCGTTGCGGCTGCTTTGCCACAGCTCAGGCCCATGTCCACCCGGCCAGTATTCCTGCATGCAGAAATCATAATGAGACATTGGCCGCAAATTTCCACACGCGCCACGCCGCTGCTGGCATCCGAAGGAGGTAAACTCCTGATCGCCACAAGTCATCACATCGCACGCCTTAGCGCTCCCGCGTTGTCGATGTCGTCTTGCCTGGCGTGTTCCGACTGAAAGACAGCAGCCAGGCCCAAAATCAAAAGTGGCAACTAGCCTACCGTCCGCCAGAAGCTCACACACCTCACCGACCCAAAAAGTCAAAGCGCCATGGCCGGCCGCAGTGCTGCCGGATACCGAGCGCCAGCCCCTGCGCCCGTCCATCCTGGCAAAACGAACGGGCCCCGACGTAGCAAGGGAGACACGCCAAGCGGCTGGCCTACGCTAACCAAGCTGAAGCGAGACCACAAGCACACCCACGCAGACCAGCGACGCGCACGCGCTACGGCGCGCGGGCCGAACTCAGAACCACGACAGCCACCAGAGTTCCCCGATCACTCGCAGAAGCGTGGACCCTCCCATGCCCGCAGCTTTCCGGCGCCAAGCGAACGCCCTAGCACCCCACAGAGCAACGCCCGCGCACCCAATAATGCACGAGGCGAAGCGCACTCACTAACACGACCCGGCAGAAAGCAGCGCGCCCCCTGCCCCGCACAGATCTCCACCGCGTTCACACACCCCGGCCAGAAACACAAGAACAGAATGGGGCCAGCACCTGGTCGGCGGGCGATGTCTGGCTCTGGGCTCTTGGCGTCCTTGACTGAATGAAAGACCAAGCGGCGCCTGCAGTCCTGCAGGCGATCTTGCGATAGGTGCACGACAACGCGCGACCTGTAACTTTCCTGCAGTCATAATTTTCACACAGTCTCGACAGCCGCGACTTTGGCGCATCACAAAATCGACCCAACCAAGCTCCCGCATGCGTTTCAAATCCATGAGGACGACGCCGCTCTGAATGCGATTCCCGTCACGAACACACAAGCCATCTCCAGGCATGTGCGTCGCCGTCAAAACCTGCGTGGGGTTGAAGTCGCTGAACTGACTCCAGAGATTTTCAAAATTCGCATTGAGGATCGTGTCAGTATCTAAGAGAACCGTTCGGTCGACTGAGTCAGGGATCAGACGGGCCGCAATCATCTTCGCATAACCGCCAACCCCCGAGTGATGCTCCCCCAGTTTTGTGTAACCATGCGCGGAGAAGAAAGACCGGACCTCCGTCGAATTTGCTACAAAGGTGGAGAGCTGCTCTGCCATTGCTTCTCTCCCCCAGCATGCTTCAGCGGTCTGGGAAACAATCCCCCCCGCTGCTGCGGCGTCGCTGTTTTTCTGATCAGTCAAGACCAACACCTGCACAGAGGGATCCAGCCTGCATAATGAATAGAGCGAAAGACCGTGAATGGCTCCACCTATTGAGGGCGCCCACGTGAGAACGCCGTCTCCCCCCCATGTCCTAGACCCACCACGAAAAAACCCAGCCCCACTCCAACTCACTGCAGAAAGCTTTCCTGTGTCCCCGAAATCCCGTTCCCGCCGACAGAGTGGGGGAACGAGCTCGCGGACGCCGTCATGGCGTAATTGCTTCCGTCTATTGCTCTGCTCTCTCTTGTTCGTCCAACGAACAAAACCGCTCAGCCAGAAACGACTCGAGCCGGCCTGTTCGTTTTCCTAATCGAAGCGCGACGCGGCGCCCTCAGACCTGCGCCCCCAATAGGTAGAGCCATAAAGACTGAGCTCGCGCATCGCGTCATCCGTGCCAGAAAAAGCGAAATATGTCGCATGCTTTCCGGGAGTTGTTACCGTTTGACCCCTTCCCCTTACAGTAGACAAACTCACAAAGACAGCAAGCCAGAGTCGAATTAGACCGAAGAGAAAAGCGTTACCAATGCAGCCAGTCGTGCCACTGCGTTCGCGATTGCAGTTCCGCATACCTTCAAGCCCTCGCCTCTGACAAGAGAAAACCACCAAAAGAAAAAGCAGACAAAAAGAAAAGATCACGTCAAGGTACTCGGAAGGCCACGACGCCAAAAAAGACAACGAGCAAAGACCGCCCCCAAAGTCTCGAGAGTTGATCTGCCAAAGGTCTGGCCAGCAAAAGCAAAAGTGGAGCCCATCAGCACGCGAGCCCGCCCACCGCTTCAAAGGCACGAACACCAGAGCCGACCCACCTGGGCGACCGCTCTGAACTTCAGAAGCCCTGCGGGTGTGTCGTGTTCTGGTTGTTCGAGTGGAGCCCAACAGCCAGATATTGCCTCACCAAGAGCGTGATCACCTAAGACAGAGCAGCGCCACACCAAAGCGCACCCGCCTGAGACCTGGCCCCGAGTTTTGGGGGCTCCAGCTCCGCCCCTAAGGTGCATCGTGTGCGCATGCTTGTTGTTCCTAGAGTGGCACCCGCCTCCGGGGTCTCACGAGTTGGCTCGCTAAAGTCAAGGGCGTGACGGTGATCAGCCAAGAGAGAGCCGCACAACACTAGCACCCGCCCACGCGGGAGCCAGCTCGAAGCCTTCGAGGCTCTGGGTGTATGGCATATGATGTGCGCGCCAGCTTCTCCGGGGGTGGGGTGAGTGCGCTCCCGTGGTCTCAAGAGTTGCCTGACGCTGTCCAAGAAAGTGATCACCTGCGAGAGAGTTGCACAACACTGACGCACAGCCACCCGCCCATCGGTTACTTAGCCGCTTCAGAGTTCCAGAAAGAGGCCCGAAAGGTGCGCCCTTTGTTTCTGCGTGATTTGCGAGTGATGACGGTGAAGACGACGGCGGCGAGGATGATTGAAGCCCAGCGACCGGGGGGGGGCGGGATGCCATCAAATCCCTGCGACTGGCTGCTTTACCTGAAAGGGCCGGGGCCTCCCTCTATCAAGTGCAGCGCTGCCCCTACTCAGCCCCCCCCCCCGCGGAGAGCAGCAAAGCCGACACCTGCCACTTCGCCGGGAGACCCCCAAGCAAGCGAGGAGAGCCCTTAGCGGGGGGCAGCTTGTCATAAAAGGCCCCACGTACCGGCCTGGCCGTCGAATGCCTAGACCCTGCCAGCGGTGCGGCCGCTTTGCCCAAGTGGCTGCGGCGATTTCTCGCCTGATGCCGAGGAGTGAGACGACGGCGAGCCCCGGCAGATCTCCCCCCGCCCTCCGAGGCAGGTTAGAACCCCAGCGCGGGCGTGAGGTTCGACAGCTCTGGAGACACTTTGCAGAAAGCTCCCTAGACGAACCGCCAAAAGCCAGGCGGAGGCGAACCCGCCGCCATCCTCGCGGCTAGGTTGCTGCTAAATTTGCGGCCAAGCCAGCAAAGGCGACGAGTGACAACAAAGGAGCCAGCAGCAACAAACACACAAGAACAGAACCACACCACGCGACGACCCCAAAGACCACACCCCCACACCCTGGCAAGAGACAACCCCGCGACACCATAGCAAGAAGAGACGCAGCAAGGCGATTCCCTACTTGACCTGCCGGGGCTCAGCCTGCCGGGGGCTTGTCTAAAACCTCCAAACACCCGAAAACCCTGACGACATGCCACTCAAGCACGCCAGGCACCCCCTACGCCACGCGCCACTCTCTAAGCGGCGCTCAGCAGCGTGGCGGTTTCCTGAAAAGCACGCACCCAGCCCACCACGAATCAGGAGCGAGCAAGCCCGCACAACGCCCCGGAGCTGGCACGAGACCGAGGCGGGGGCCTCCTTCATTTCACGCGCCACCCCTCCCGAGGGGAGACGCCACGCCGGGGCCACCGCCCCGAAACCCGGCGCCGCGGGGTCGGTTTTGTGGTCCTGCATGTGGGCACCCAAGCGCATGCTAAAAAGGTGCGAAACCGAGACGCCGCGCCGGTCTTGGGCGATTTCGCGTGGACTTTTGGCGGCCCCCGATTTAGCGCCTTTCTCTGTTCGCGCGGCCACACGTCTGAGTCTGACCACAAAACTTACGTCGCGCGCTGCTTGGCACGCTATTTAGAGCGCTACTTAGCACGAAAGTCAGCAGGTTACTTAGGATGCAAAATTAACATGCGTTCTAGCGCGAAGCTTAGCGAATTACTTGGCGCCAAACTTAGCAAGCATTTTCGCGCGAAACTTAGCGCAAAACTTAGCGCGCTGCTTAGCATGAAACTTAGCACAAATTTAGCAAAGCCGACATCCAAAGAAAAGGAGCCGCCCCGCGTGGTGCACGGCGAAGCGCTCCAGCAAGTAGACCACATTAGCCGCGCCGCCCGCTTCCCCGAAGACCCTCCAGGCCAATACATCACCAAAAGAACTCACCCAACGCCGACAAGAGCCGCCGAGAAGCTGACAGCAAAAGGAGGCCACTCCCTCGCACTTTTTCACTGCTGAGGAGTAGTAGGTCTGCACAATGCTGAAAAAGCCAAAAAAAGCGACGAAAGCCCAAAGCTTGGCAGCATCTTAGCACGCTCGACAACGGGGCCACGCTCCGCTTGACAAAGGCTGCAAGCCTTCAGCATCTGTAATTTGTCCCCACACTTCGACACAAATTGATACCCACCTGCCAAGAACAACGCAAGCGGCCCAACCTTGCAGCAAAACACTGCTGCACTCTAAAGAACACAAGAAACAACACAGAAGACAGACACGCGCCAAGAGCGCCGCCATAGATGCGGCGGCTACCTCTGGAGGGGGAAGCAGCGCGCGACATTGCTGGCTCACTTCGCCAGCCTGTAGGGGACTCGCAGAAGCGCACTCGCGGCGTCAAGCTTCACGCAGGTTTGTAGTTGTCACGGAAGCCAGAGCAGAGCTGACCAGCGGCAAACTGCTCCCCGGGCGGCTTCTGCAAAATCTGGCAACCTCATGCGGAACCCCTAAGAGAATGCGCAACCTACGAAAGGCCACCCCCTTGCCCGGGAGCTCTGCACGCTCTTTTGCCACCCTCCTACACTGCCCCCCCGTGGGACTTACTCAACGCCGTCGAGCTGCTACGCGACGCGTGACACCCACGGCGTCACGCCCAGCGCCTCACGCGGATAAAGAGCGAGAGAGGCTACGCGACGCGTGACACCCACGGCGTCACGCCCAGCACCTCACGCGGATAGAGAGAGAGAGAGAGAAGAGAGAAGCGAGAAGAGAGAAAGAAGAGAGAGCGCGAGGGCGGCCGAGAGAAGAGAGAAAGAAGAGAGAGCGCGAGGGCGGCCGCCTGTCCGCGCCCTGCTGGCGCCTCGGGTTCCCCTCTGGACGACACGCCTGGGGCTTGTTTTCCCCCTAGGTGGGGCGGCGACCAGCCTGGAAGCCGCCGCCGTGCCAGTCGAGACCCCTCTGGGATTCGAACCAGCGACCCCGCAGCCACGCATATGCCTGGGGGGATTGAAATACCCGGGCGGGCTGATAGATCTGGGAGAGCTGAAGGACCTTGGCGGGCTGATAGATCTGGGCGGGATGGCTGATTGCTAGAGAATGCGGCCGCGGTCACCTGTTTGCGCCCTTCTTCTCCTTCGTCTTTTCCTGCCTTCGCTATCGCTGCTGCCTCTTTTTCATTTTGCCACAAAGCCGTCCGCCGCCCTCCCTGCCTCTTTCTTCTCCTCTTCTGCGGAGGCGCAGCCACTGCCCTGCTTTACTGGCTGTCTTTTCCCCTCTTTCCTCCCCTGGGTCCTGGAGCGGGTTGCCCGCAAGTTTCCGTGGCCCCCGCCAGCTTCGTCGCTCTCTGTCTCTGACCTCTTCGGGGCTTCGATCGTCCCACCCCCTGCGGGTAGCCTTTCAGAAAACAAAACGCGCGAGCCCCTCCACGTCCGTTGCGTCTGTTGTGTTTGTGGTCGCTGTGCTTCTTCCATTCTTGTCCCCTTTCCCTGGCAGCGCGGTGCCCACATCTCTCGCTCCTCCCTCCTCTCCAGTTCTTTGCCGCTCTCACCCAGTGCGCGACCAGCCCCCTTCGGTCCTTGTTGCCTTCATGGCCGCAGTGTTTGCGCATAGTCCTGCCCCCGTCTCCTTTTTCTCCTCCTCAGGTGCCTTGCCGCACCCTCGTTGCCGCGTCCCATAGCTCTGCCCAGTAGACTGGCGGCAACCACTGCCACTGCGCGACCAGTTCCCACCCCCACGCGTCCTCCCTGCCTGGTTTCTCCACCCAAGTCAGTGCCCGCAGCTCCTCTCCCAGTTTTGCGGGGTCTTGCACCGTTTCCACAATGGCAGCGAGTTCCCCCATGTTGCGGAAGTCCTCCCCCCCTTCCTGCTTTGAAGAACTTCGCCAGCCTTTCCCCGGGCTTTCCTCGTGTCTCCACCTCCGTCCGCGCTGTCCCTGTCTCCAAGCCTGGCCCTCTTACTTTGCTGGCATGATGTTCAGCCCTTCGCTCGCCTTGAGAGTCATTCCAAGGCCAAGCCTTCCGCCCCACACTTCCTCTCTGTGCCTGTTTCCCCGTTGTTTTCACACCATGAAGAAGCTCGCTCTACGAATGGCGACCGCGACGCGCTGCGCGCTGTCGGATGACTTGGAGGCCAAGCGCGTCAGAGTGGGAATGTGTAAGCATATAAAACAAGCCTCGAGCTACGTAGTACTAAGTCAGAAATATACGGCGGCTCGCTTCTACGCAGTCCGTCCAGGTCCACTAACCTGAAAAGCCTCAAACTGCCACCACCTGGCTGGTGATGCAAGTGACGCGATGGCGTCGCAGAAGTCCCGGACTGCTTCTCACCGTAGCGGCCGCGCGGATGACTGCGATATGTAAGAAAGCGCACGCTTCTCGAGGAGTAGCGACGGAGCTTGCCGCGCTCTTGTTGATGTTCTTCAGTTTGTCACCTTCCTTGAAGCCTAAAGAACAACGCCGAAGAATTGATGTGCGAGCGCGCGCCACTTCTTCACGTCTTGCGCTACTGCATCACGCTGGTGATATGACATGGCGCGCGTGTCTTCTTTGTCTGCCTTGCCTTCGCCTCGTCCGCGCCAATCAATCACGGTCGCGCTGCAAGTAGTCGAAAGCCCATCACCATCGCGGCAGCCGATGCATCTCCTGCCCCTACATCTTTTGCGTTGGCACCTCTGCCAGGCGGGTCGTTTGACTAAGCGGCGCGCCTCCGTGAACGCCTTGCCGTCCAGTTTGCGTGCCGCCTGCCTGCTAAAGCAAAAGAGCCACACGCCGATGCCCTCGGTCTTGGCCTGTGTCTCTATTAGATGTCCTCGCGGCACTCACTCGGCAAAAATAAATCGGCCACCGAAGAGCAGAATCTGGCGCCTCGCGTCCCTTCGTGGTCTTGCGAGCAGAAAGCGCACGCGCAGACTGTGGCAGCCGGCTACTCGAAGAAGCGAAGGAGAACGAACTCGGCCCGCAGCGTTTTGCCGACATCTTTGACACATTCGCGGCAGCCTGCTACTGCGTCGCAGCCGTTGCACAGTGCTCCTGGAAGTGCGGAGCGGTTCCCATTCTCCCCCGTTTGACACACAAAGCGAAAGAAGTCTTGCGCGCGCCCCTCTTTCTTTGGTGTTGCTGTGTGTTTCACACAGGCGCCCCGTAGTTGTTCTCGTGCCTCCGTTCGTTCGCTGCGGTATCGAAGCGCCACTTTTTGTTCGTGGTCGAACATACGCGCTGTGTGTCCTCCAGTGCGTCAGCGCTCCTGGGCTCGCTCCTCTTCTAGTTGTTCCCTGGCTTTGGCTGCTGCCAGTTCCGCCCTAAGGCCTATCCGCTTGAAAAGGGTGGCAATGTCCTCGCTGGGCATTGGCATTCCGGTGACGGAGTCGAGGTTTGGACCCGTGTGCCACGGGCCATGTTTGCTGATGTTGGGCGGAGCTTCGAGAGCTCTCGGCCCGGCTTCGACCGCCTCGGCTGGTCTGAATGCCATGCGAGTGCCCTTCCTAGCGTTCTAAGGTCGGCCCGCGCCCGTGGGTGTTGCTTTTTTGGTTCATAAAAGATCGCACCAAATTCATGCGCACAGCTTCGGGATGTGGATCTGGATATAGCTTACCACGCTTCTCACGGTCATGCGTTTGCAAATGGCAGAGCTGGCGCCCTCCTGTCTAGTATTTCTCCGCCTCTCTTCGCTCTGCAAGTCGCTCGGTCCGTTACGCGATGGCGCCGACTCAGTGCGGAATGGAAGACACGACTCAAATGAGCGCAATTCTCTTCGAGAGACTGGCCCGGGCAAGGGCGCCGATGGTGACGCTTCGCCCCCTGACGTCTTTTCTCACGCCTGAGAGAGTATGGACATACCCAACGAGAGGCCGTCGCCCCGATCATAAATTTTGTCGAGTTTTCGAGGGCCCGCGCCTTTCATCACTCGAGTGCGCGCGCCCTTTGGAAGTTCTGCGCGCTCATAATTAAGCGAAGTGAAGTAGCCAGACCATGCGAAGGCGAACGCGCTGGCGGTAGATGTATAGACAGGCCAGAGAGTCACAATATACACAGAGCAAAAGCATAACAGCCGAGCGCGAGCCAATCTCCCCACAGAGCAGACTCGAGAGAGCCCGCGCCACAACCGTGGAACACTGCAGGGCCACTCTGCTACCCAAAGACGGCACTGGAGCCGCGCCTCTCCAGCCCCGCCCCGTTCTGCTTGTCAGTCTCCGGTGAGGCCGCTTGCGTTTTATTCTCTAAAGACGTCCACCACAGTCACAAAGCCGGCGGGCCCGTCTGGTGGACATTCATTCCACCGCCGGGGAAACCGCCAAAGCAAGCCACACGGCCACCCAGCTGGGCGGGGCTGCCTGGCTGCGACAAAGGGGGAGGGGGCTGCCCCGTAAAACGTGGCGAGCGCCGGATAGGCCGAACCGTCCTGCCCCCCCTTTCTGAGGGGTAGCCTGCCTATTCATTGCGCGCGACACGCGTAGCGCGTCACGCGATAGGGGCATGAGATAGCGCGGCGCGCCACACTGAAGCGGCGCGAGTGATCTAGTGCGACCAACACCAATGGGAACAAGAAACGCCTGGAGGCCGCAGAGGTGCAAAGCCATAAATCTGAGGCCATTCAATCAGTGCGCGGTCGCACTGTCTGAGGCAGCACAGTGGCGCCAGCTGAGGCTTGGCCAATCTGTGGACAGTCATGCCCATGATCTGGCGCAAGGGCTTTAGCTGAGGCAAGTTGAAGCAATGAGGCTGCAAGCGGTGATATGATCCGAGTCAGAGCCTAGCCATATCTCTGCGGCCACTCAATCTGTGGGCGGGCGGTCATATGGTCTGGGGAAGCAGCCTGATCTGAAGCGCGTTACTGTGGCCAACCTCGCAAGCGTCTCTCGCTCTGCGCAGTCTCCTGCCCTTTCATGGAAAACCGACGCAGCACACATTCCCATGCACAAAGCGAGGCCAGCGGCTAAACGAGGCAGAGAGCTGCGGTAGAGCAAGCAGCAGCAAGCACGCAGCGCCCAACCCAAGCAGCGCGCCCTCTTTTGGTTGCCAACCTTTCAAGCCCAAGACATTCAAAGCGCGACGGCGAGCTAGCTTGCAGCCGTCGAGGCGACGTCCGCAGACAACCACACACCTCGAAAGCGCAAACGCCTCCGCACCAAAATAGAACAACAGCCACGAAGCGACCCCGCTGCCGACGTTCAGCACTGACTTTGCCCAAAGTCGACCGCGCTACAGAATGGAAACACTCCAAGGCCACAAAGATAGAACACCTCTGAAGGCAGGCACCTAGATCATAGCGGCACCCGGCGGGATGCGACATAGACATAACCACGACAACCAAACCAGCCACCAGAAGAGCCAACGCCCGGCGGCTGTTCCATGGATCGCCAGGCACCCAACACCCCCGCAGACTTCCCACCCGCGACACCAATCAAACGGCACCACACAGCCCCGCAACCAGATGCAACGCCGCAGAATGCCGCGCCATCGTCACACTTCACGCCTCCGCCTGCGGCGTCATCTCATGGCCATGACCCATGAGGGTGCCGCAAGGCAAGGCAAAGAGCTCGGCTACTCGATCGATTCGAAGGATATAACTTCGGGAGGCACTAAGATGCGCAAAAACCACACCGAGACCGATAGAGGCAGAGCCATCAAAGCTCTCCGCTTGAGGTGGCGGAGGTAAAACCAGCTAGCGCTGGCACAGTGGCAGCGCCACACTTGAGCCACCACAGCGCCCCGCAGAGCAAAGCAGATGGCCGGCGCAAATCATCAGAGACAAGATCGACTCAAGGCCCAAGAGCGTGGCCGCGTGGGCGTGCCAGTTGCAGCGCCCCGAGCTACTAGCCAAGTTTCGGGCCGTCAGAGCGACCAGTAGGGACCGCCCACCCCGTGCCACGTTAACAACAGAAAAAGAGGCAAGACACCCCACAGCACGTCCACCCGTCCCACGACAGAAGCAGCGCACACAGCACCGCGCCACGACACTCACAACAGAAGCACCCCACCCGCGAAGACCTTCAGAGACGATCGAGAGAGCGGAGAGAGGTGGCAGCATCCCGTGCAGAGATGCAGCCACAAGAGCAAGGCCCTGCGCATCGCCTGGAGAAGTGAGGGCACTGGGGGCTGGCCCTCCATTCTACTAGCACACACACACACACACACACACACACACACACCCCTTCGTCGGTTTTTGTTTTCCATCGTAAGAAGAGAACATCCGCGGCCGCGTCGTAAGAAGAAGCCTGGTATTTTACTTCTTGTTTTAGTTCTTTGTGCACAAACCTACAAACCCCGCTGGGTGATGACAACGAAGCCCAAGCTCGTCAGAAGTCCAAGTAGCATCCAGCTCAGAATAGCAGATAAGTCAGCAAGCCCAGTGTTTGTAACATGAAAAGAGTGCTCATATCGGTGCATCATTTGCGCACGCGTTTATACTCCCGTCGGGAGTTCATGAGGGCCCTCCCGTGCCTTCTGCGACGGTTTGGGCTGTGCCTTGGCAGAGGCGTACTCCCTGCTTCACGCTTGCCTTTTCTCTTCGTTGTCACCTTCTTTAGCCGCTTTCGGTCGCTAGCGACCTGAGGTCTCGCGTGCATTGCGGCGTGGTCGTGGTCGCAGTCAACAAGGCTAAGTCCTTCCCAGTGCAGTAGTTCCTGCGCGAAAAAGCCACCAGGACCGGCCTGCGAAATGGCGGCGCGGAAGTCACTACCCCAGATGAGTTCGCGCTTCTGACTCGGATCTAGCACCTTTTCGGGTATGGGGTGCGTAGCCGTGGCTAGGATATCCGTCATTTGGTGCGGGATGTCGCGGGCGTGCCTCGCTTGCTCGCCCCGTAGTGCCGCTGCGTGGTGGATCAAGTCCAGTCTTGTGAGGGGGTCCGCCAGGTTCCGTGCGGTTTGCACGTAGCGACACCACACGCGGCAGCCTAGTTGAGCGCTATGCTTTGCCGCCCAGGTGGCCAGTCTGGCCGTATGTGCGTTTCGTGCGCTGGTCTTGATGAGCGCGCACAGTTCGCCCGTGTTGTCGATGCTGCAGACGCAAGTGGCATCTTGTAGCTCGTTGCGAGAGTGATGCTGCGCCAGGCACACAGCCATGGTTTCGTACTGTTCGGTAGTCCAATCGCCCTCGGGGGCCGATGATGCAAAGGTGTGTGGTGCGCCTTGCTCGTCTAGCAATAGGCCACCCAGCATTGATTTGTTGCGCAAGCCGTCCGCGCTGGCATCTAGGTAAAGGAAGACGCACGTGGCCGGGGTCCATTGCAACTTTTGTGGTGGCAGCTGCGTCGCGTGTGCGACTGCGGCCTTGGTGAGTCTAGCTAAGGGAGAGCGCTCCTGCTTATTGTTTTTGAAGTAGTCAAAGCTTTCGGCTGTCCAGGGGTGCATGCCTCTGAGGAACTCGGCGCCATTCCTAGTGGTATGATAGATAACAAAGCTCAGCACCCCTAGCACTTTTTGAGCTTGCTTCTGCTTGATGGCTTTAGCCTTGATCTGCTTAAGCAAAAGGTTAGCGGCTTTGACGAGCTTGCCTAGGTTTTTGTAGGAAGTGCATGCGTAACCTGCTGCTCCCCGGCGGTCGTAGAGATACCAGACCCCAAGCAGCTTGACCGCGTTCGTGGCCGTGCTAATTTGGTTGCCGTCGGCCTTCTCAGCCAGAGCCATGCCACAGCATGCCGATAGCGCGCCCTAGGTTTGTCGCATGAGCTCCGCGGTCTCGTAGTTGGGTGCCAACAAAAACGCGTCATCAATACAGACGAGCGCTGGCGTGGTTGCTCTGTCCAGTATGGACATAAAAGCTTCCGAAATTCTGCAAAAATTCGGCACCGACAATGTGTTGCCCATGTTCAGGACTGCGGCATGGTAAAATTGCCAATCGCCCTGGCTGGGCGCATAGAGTGCGACGCTGTTGCGTTCCGGCCGCGCGACGCCGAACAACATGTAGTATGCTTTAGACCAGTCGCGCGCGACTGCTTCCGGTAGCGTTGCGGGAGGCGTAGCTGTTTCTTCCCGCTGGTTGAGTTTTATTATCTGCTGCGCAATCTGCTGCGGAGACGCGTCCCGCATTGGTTTCTTCGAGGTGCGGCGCATCTCCGCCTGTTTCCAGGCTTCCGTAGCTATGGCATAGTTAGAAAATTATTTTGCTTTTAGTTAAAAATTTCCTTGCCTTCGGTTTTAAGAGGTTAAGCAGCTGGCTAAGAAGCTAGCCAAAGCCGCAGGATTAGCGTGCACGAGGTGGAGCCTGACCTCGCAGGGTGGTCCGCAGTTGGGTCGAGAAGCAGGTCGGAAGGAGCTGC